ATCAATAAAAGAACTTAAAGGAAAGATTTAACTCAAAAGTCTCAAATACTTAAACTCAAAATATTTGAAATTAAACATGCAATTGGCCAAAGAACAACTCAAGTCTCAACATAAACATTGAAAATGAAATAGACTTATGAACTACAAATATTTATCTATCTATGAAGCCTCTACTAGCTGGGATGGACGTCGAGACAAGACCCACGACATCCTAATAAGAAAATTGAAATGATTAAACATGAATGAGGGATCCTCTAGAAGCAAGGAGGCTCACCAAACAACTCTGGAACTGCAAATGGTATCAACGAATTGCTTGTTGATAACCCTGATCTGCTGTATTTGCATCATGAAATGATTTAGGCCAAATGGAATCAGTACATTCAAAGTATGAGCATGTAATGGGAAAACTGAACATAACATAAAGCTTGAACTTTGAAATATTGAAACATACTCAACTTGATGCTACTCAACTCAACCTCAACTCAATGCAGTATAAAAACAAAAATAAAGATGTAGTTTATATAAAGCATTTAAAAGAGTAGATAACAACTCAATGTATTTAAAAATACAATAATAACTCTGTTTGTATGCAAAAATTCAAAATAACTTTGTTTGGGAGATTCTCTAACCGACAACCACCATTATGAGCTATATGATGATACATCGTCTCGCCCACACTGCTAGAAGTGCCCTATACCTTATCGGGGTATAGAACTCCTCAACTAAGTGGATCCACTAAGCTATGCTTAAAAATTGATATGGAATCATCTATAAAGTATGACCCTTTCTAACCACGTTCGCTACATGGTTTATGAGAGATGTGAGTTGTTTGAACTCTCTCATATACCGGTGCTCAATACTACTCCCAAAATATAACTTAGCTCATATGTTTTATAGAAAACATTTCATCATCCTGAACTTTGAAATTATTGCTCAAAACATTTCTCTAAAAAGAGATTGTACTCAGAACTGCTCATGTACTCTTTTGAAAATCGATGTTTCCTCTCATCTTAAATGTAAAAACATTTACTTTTGGGAATACTTAGTTCCCATATATCATTTTAAAATAAATAAACTCAACTCTACGCATCCTCAAACTCAAGTACTCATGTCTCAGAACAAGATTTAAGAGATTGTAAAAGGCTTCTCAAAATGACTCAAAAGAACTAGACTCTTAACACTACCTTTAATTTGAATGATGAATTAATGGGTTATGATTTCATGTTATGGATGATCTCTCGATGTTTAGATGTATTTTAGAGTAGTTAGAATCAATAGGAATAAAGGTACACTTTAAAAGGACTGAGACGGGCAAAACGACGGAAAAGGGGTAGGGGTAGGCGACCCTGGCGCACTGAACACCTGAACTACAGGAGACTCGTGCCAGCCCATGCCCAGATTTTCTCGACGAATTTTCTTCCTCGTTTTCTGACCCTAATTCGTCTAGAATCAAATGGTTTCTTCCCAAGTAACTTACATTCAAATACCCAACATAAGTACACAATAATCTACTCCAAAAAACACTCAAATAACTAATATTTATCTCACAAATTCTTTAAAACTCCTACAATCAAGATTAAGAATGAAACTTCAAGAAAACTCATCAAGAACTCAAATCATTCAAACTCAAGAACGAAATTTGCATTAAATTCTCATGATTGGCGTATAAGTGCATGAACCCAAGACTATGAGAACTCACATACCTTACTTTTGCAAAAGTCCTTCGACAAATCTCATGAATCCACGAATGCCTTGAACCTTTTCTCTTTTCTCTTTTTCTCGCTGCTTGACCTATTTTCCAAAACCCTAAGCGTAAACTAGGATTAAAATTAACCCAAATCAGATTTGACCTTAAAATAGTTACTAAATATGATTTAATCTGAAGGTGTGAGGAAAAGACCAAAATACCCCTCATAATTTCGGGTAACTTTCCTTAACTTGGATATGCAGATTCCAAATGGGCATATCTCCCTCATCCGAACTCCAAACTTAACAAACTCGGTGGCGTTGGAAAGAGAATTCCAAGACCTTTCATTTGATATCTTATGGGCCACCTAACTCATCATATACTGAAAGTTATGGTCGTTTGAAGTTGACCCAAAACTCACAACTTAGCATAACTTGCTAAATTCTCAATTTAGCTATGTCCAGTTTAGCGCTTTCTAATTTAGCTTTTTCTAAGGCGGGATGTTACAGGGCATGGGGTTGTGGGTATGGGTCGGATTGGGTGGGGAAAAATCCAATGTGAATTGAAATTTAGGTTTATGGGTAAAAAGGGATCCAAAAGGTGGATTGAGGGGAATTTTTAGCCCAATTGGTGAATAAGGAGTATATTTAAACCTTTTGAAATGGTCCAAGAGTATTTTTAGTCCTTTTCGGTAAATTCTATTATTTGGTATGATATATGCTAAGTAGCTTGTATAGGGCCTCTCGGGGTCTTATACGCCATGTAATGTCTAGGGTGTACTTTCGGTCGTGACAGATCATGATGAACTTAGTTTTATAAATTGTGTTGGGTATAGTTGGTGTGGATGAGTTGTTTTAAGGCGCCAATTTCATGTATTGTTCCAAAAAGGGGCTAGGGAGTTGGCATGAGAAATTGTAAATGATAATTGATTAGTTGATTGGGGTAGTGATGGCATGGTATTCAGGGATATTAATGTGTTAGTAGGTTTAAGTTATTATTGTACATTATGGTGACATAACATATTGGCTTGGGATGCCCTAGGATGATATAACTAGTAGGCTTGTGAATTATAAGAGTTTCTAGAGGGTCGAATGTTAAATATTGGAGTTGACAATGGAGTGACACAGGAGGCTGGGTTCAAAGTGTACTAGATTATGGGTTTACTTGGGAAGTGTAAGAGTATGTGAATAGAGAAGGAGTGTGGTGTAAGTTCCTTATTGCATGGTTATTTTTTAATGTCTACATTATATTATGTGGTAGGTTTGGGTCGAACGGTGATCGTTACTAGTACGTGTTGTTTGTACTGATACTACTCTTGTTATGCCACTTGGCATAGTATGGTTGCAGGGTTGGCAATATTTCATAGGTGAAGATGATGATGATCTCCAACAACTTTCTCCTTCTTGTGGTGGGAGTTGTGTCTCATTTTTATGTATAATATGTATTCTCTTAGTAGTTCTTGTACATTTTTGGACTAGTTCTATGGGGTGTTTTTCAATCTATTGTAAAACGATTTTACTCATGTTTTAGTTTCTTACATTTATGATGTTAATGAGATTTATTTAGTAATTAAGTTAATTTCCACATGTTTCAACGGATTTTGGTGGTAAAGGTTCTCCTTTCTAGGTGTTTGAGTAGGTGCCCCAACTGCCCACTACTATTTTTTTAATTCAAAGTATTAGAATTTATTAGTTGTGCTAATATATTTATGGATAGCATTGTTAGATGTTTCGTGAGTTTGATTTTTAAGTGTTGATTCACCCACATGGGGTTTGTTGTGGGAGCCAGTCACGGTGATTTGAGTCGTGACATGTTCATTATGCAAATTGTTCCAACATTACGATGATTTACATTGCTGATTGATTATTACATGAGGCAATAAGACCCTATCCCGTAAATCACGAAACATTTCATGTGGAAATAAGATCCTATCCATCGAATAACGATTATTCAAGTTAGTTTCACCAATATCATTTGAATGCTCATAGGAAGTTCAAGTGTTAATGAAGTATATGTATAGAGTACCTACCATATTTCCTAGTTCATTATTTTTGGGAAATGAATAAAATGTATTTTTAGTTCATTATATTTGGAAAATTAACAAATCATATATCTAGTTCATTATATTTTGGAAATTAATAAATTGTATTCCTACTTCATGTGGGAAATTAATAAGTCACATTCCTAATTTATTTTGAAATCAAATTTAAACAATATATGAAATATATAGAGATGGCTTACCATATTTCATTTGGGAAGTTAATAATGTTTTATTCCTAATTTGTTTTGAGTCAGATTTGTTGATATGTCGTTATTAATTATGTACCTAAATGGGTTTAAAACATACAAACCATTTATTTTTGAAATCTTTGCGCGGATAGAAAGTAAAAGTAAAAATAGTAAAATACAATATTTTATTGGTGTTTAGTTTGAAAGGAAAAAGGTAAATAAATTATAAATTAAAAGTAAGACAAAAGATTCTAAAATGATTGGCTCTGTTCAATTTTTCATGTGCGGTTCGATTCGATTGGATTCGATTCTTCGATATGTGCTAAATTATATTGAAGTGTGTTTACTACATTATCATTGTTCATTTTAAAATTGATCGATGATCTACAATAATAAAGAACTGTACAAGTAATTCTTGGTAGATTTCATTACATGGACAAATTATGATATTGAAATAGTTAGATATTATCACTCTTGATTTTCACCTTAATTACTCACCTCTTGATTTACTAGTAGACTTTTTCCGCTGTAATGAAAACATTATTTGTATTTACAGGATTTTACTAATATTTATTCGAAAATCAAAGATAAAAAATAATATAATTGGTTCCAAGTTTTGAGGGATAATATATTATAGGTATTTAGCGTTCAAAAATCTTGTTTCAACTTCTTTTGAATTTCATAGGAGATGTATTGGTAAAATTCTATTTGTATTTTTATTTGTGGCCCAATTATTTGTTCATCACAAATCTGGTGCCAAAAGAAGCTACATTACCATACAATTTGTTTCTAATATCTGCTTATGTTAGATTGTGTATATAAGCTTAATGTATATGTCATTGCAACTCATTGTTCTTAATAATAATTAGAATAAGAAGCAAATTGTTCTTGTATAAATAAAAAAATTGTAGTGCATGATATCGATCCAGATTTTAACTAAAAATACATTTTCTTAGTTATAAAGTTTTAAACATACATAAACAAACAACTCTTGGTCTTGCAAACTTAGGAAAAGAAAACTAAATATTACAAGGAAATTTCAAAATAAAATAAATCTTTAACTACTATTGCATTTGTATCATCTTTAATTTGCTGATGTGAAAGGGGAAGCAGAAGCTCGACATATGGGACAATTTCTTTTCCTCAGCAACCACTCTTTGATGCAGCATTCGTGATATTCATGTTCGCACCCAAGTGTCCCAATGGACTCTTTATTCTCATATTTGTTAAGACAGATGCCACAAATCTCTTCTTTGTTCGTTGAACTATTTACTCCATCTTCAGGCACAACAACATGATGAATTCTTGTTTTATAATACCTCGATATATCTTCGTGTTGCTCTTCCTCCATGTAAGCCTCGGATTGACCTTGTATATTTTCTTCTACACCTGCCCTTAAGATTCTATCTATCGAATCACGATCACTAATATTAGTTATAACAACACCCAGAGAATAATCATTTGGGTTACTCATTGTTCAATAAAAATAATAATAGAACAAACTAAACAAAATTAATGTTGAGATTTCTTTGAGTTCTTGACAAGAACAAAAGCACAAAAAAGTGAATAATAAGTTTGGAGTGATAGAAAACTATATATAGAGATGACATACCATATTTTCTTTTTTAATTGGAAAGTTAAATAATTGCATTCATAGTTCATTATATTTGGGAGATAAGGAAATTGTATTCCTAGTTCACGTGGGAAATTAATATAATCTATTTCATTTGAAAACTTAATAAATTGTATTCCTAGTTCATGTGAAAAATTAATAATTGTATTCCTTGTCCATTTGGAAAAATAATAAATTTTCTTCCTAGCTCATGGGGGGAAACAATAAGTTGCATTCCTACTTTGTTTTTGATTTAATAAATGACAATATGAAATATACATAAATATAGCATATCATATTTCTACTTTATTTGGAAACTTAATAAGTTTTATTCCTAATTTGTTTTTAACACATAAGTAAAAGGAAATACAATAAATATAATGTGCAAGAGAATACAGTAAAACATATATTTGTGATTACATAGTTTGATAAATACCAAAAAAGCTAAAAGAAAGAAAGTTGGATAAGGAGAATGAATAAATTTATTTTTCGACTAAAATTTCTCCAATCTTTGTACGGAAGGAAATATAAAAGAAAGCAAATACATTTATTTTTCAAATGAAAGTTAATTAATTACTTTAATTAATTAATTTCTCCCCTTTTTGTAGGGGCTTGTCCTAGAATCTCACTATGATTTAGTGGTTTTCAGATAGAATGTTAGATTTCTGCTTATGTAGTTATGTGTAAGATTTTTATATTTGATATGATAGCTATTGAGGCTTTATTCGACTTTCCAATTTATTAGCTATATATGCTATCTTAGGGTCGTGCTACATCATGTGTGTAGCTTGGTGTTATTCGTGTCTCTTGGTACCATGTCACATCTAGGGGGTCGCCTTGGGTCATTACAAACTTGGTATTGAGAATATCAGAGTCAAGCGTCTTAGGGTGTCGTGAAGCCGCATTAAGTAGAGTCTTGTTCTTGGGTGTGAAGCACACCACATTTATGAATGAGACGCTATGAAACATTTTAAGAAATACTTCACTTCTTTCATACTCTAAGTTGTGCGATAGAGTGCAACTTTATAAATTTTACTTCTAACTCATGCTCTATATGTTTATAGAATCATGCCTCCAAGAAGAGCTTACGAGAGAAGGAATCAAAATGTTGAACAAGAATCACCTCCACCTTCGATTGACCTTCTGGCTGAACAAGTTACTCATGTTGAGTTTAGGGCTACTTTCCAAGCTGTATCGCAAGCCATGATGGCGCATGCCAACTGTGAGGTTCTTGTGCTTGTGAGCCCAAATGTTCGCACAAATGTTACTAGTGTTTGGGACTTTTCTCGGATGAACCCTATGGAATTCCATTGTTCGAAACTGGATGAGGATTCAAAAGAGTTCATTGAGAGTAGACCTATTGGTGAGTCAATTTTAGCTAGATGGGTATGTACAAATTGCACGGTCTTAGTTTTCCAGAAAAGCACCTCAGTTAATTTAGTAGAGTTAAATATGCTTGACGTTCATTTTATTTTTTAGTGTGGATTGGCTTCATGATTGTTACGCCTCAGTGGACTGTAGAATAAGAGTCGTTAAATTTTAGTTGCTGAATGAACTAGTCATTGAACGGAAGGGTAGTGCCTAAGCGCCTACAAGTCATTTTATATGATGCCTTACGACTAGAAATATGATATCTATGGGTTGTACCTCCCATCTAGTATAGGTTAGGGATACCAATTCTGAAACCCGAACTCTTAATTCTCTTTCTGTAATAAATGAATTTCTAAGAATGTTTCTTGATGATCTTCTTGGAGTTCCTCCCGAAAGGGAAGTCAATTTTGGAATAAATAGATACCCAAATTATCTCCATTCCTCCTTAAGTTTATTCAAAAGATAACCCTTCCACTTCCCTCCAACCATTTTAGAACCAATTCAAGCCCTTTCACCCTAATCCCTACGCCCTGAACATTATGGTAGCATTCTAAATGTAATGGAAATCCCAATGCTTTGGGAAATTTGATGAACAAGCAATTATTTTTCATCATTTCAGTATAATCCCAAACCTATTCTACTCAATTCAATTTTATAGCACACACTCATTCTTCAGCGTAGTAAGGAGAGTAGACTACGAAGTGGTTACCATAGTTTTACATTTCTGAATGGAGTTACCGAAGAGTTGAGAGAGTTTTGGGAAATATGAGGGAGAGAAATAATGATGAAAACCCATTCCCCTATCTGTTATGCTTTTGATTCTTGTTATGCCACTGTAGCAACTGTTAGGTGCTAGAGCGACGCCGCTAGACTGGGTTTATGGCTTCTATAAGGGGATCTAGTACTATGTATGGATAAATTTTTTATTATGATTTTATGCGCTCAAATTGGTTTCTTGATGATCTTGGGTACACGGGATGTGGTAGTATCATGTCACATGCATCGGGGAAGTGTATTCTTAACTTGTCAAATCATGTAGTGAACCCCGCTAATCAATCTATCTTCTTTACACCTGGGTAGTAGTTCGAGAATGAACGTCTGGTACAAGATATCTCCATGGTTGGCTTAGGTACCACTTCTATTATATACTAAAAGTTGGCTTGAATACCATTCTTGGTATGAGGATATCCATATATCGTTGGCTCGGGTACCACACTGGTACACCAACCACCGATGGCTCGGGTAGCACACCGGTAAACTAACAGTTTGAGTTTCAGTTTGATGAGAGTACCAAGTATGTGTTTATGGTTCAATGTATGAAACTGATGTACTTCTTTATAATTTAATTGTTGCATGTTGGATCTGTGAGTGGTTTGGGTTACATGAAAGGTGGGTTGATCTCAGATTTAACTTGTATGTGATCATGTGATATAGAGTTCATGGTATGGTAAGTAAGGGTAAGGACGAGGAGTCTGGGTTGTGTGTTATTTGTGATTGTTGAGGTTTGTTATTTGTTTATTGACAATTGATTTCTTAAGGGTTATTCCACATATTTGTTTTAACTACTGGGATGAGTTTATGGAGACACAATTATTTAGTTGGCTAATATTAATCAGGTAACACCTTTGATTTGGAAAAGAAAGAAAAAATGTAGATTTGTCAACTGGTGTCTGTGTCTGCGGTTCCCCATCTACGGACCGTAGGTGATTAGAAGGTCTAGGTGGAAACTATAGGTGGTGGGGAAATGGTTTTTCTAAAGTCAAGTCCCATTACCTTTTTGACGATTCAACACGATGGAATGTCGCTCCTTTCACGAGTCATAGATATGTCTCGTAGGTGACCACTAATACGTCCAAATTTACACTTCAATTAAGAAGCGTAAACAGTCATTGTCAATTTATAGAACTCAATGTGAGTTGAGGTCGATCCCATAGCGAATTTACTTACAAAAATAGTTTTACTGATACCTTTATCCAATTGTTGTTATTATTTCCCAAGGAAAGTAATTATGAAATGTTAAAATGGGTTTAGTTATGATTTTTAAGTAACTAATGTTGTAATGTAAATTTCAAGTTAACACAAGTAGCAGGATTTTAACTTCATGGTTGTGATAATTGATGAATGAAACCAGGATTGTGTTCCCCATGCCTTAGAATTTAGTGTTGAGTCGTGAACAAGTTTCGATTGATTGTTTTATTGAAAATTACCAACGAGTTAGATGCATCTAACATTTCTCAGTCTTGTTAGATAACTTTAACTCTAATTCTCTTGGTCTTAAAGTGTTGGCTATTTTCACCCTCACCTGTTTGGTGTCAGAATCTCATCTTTCGAACTCTAATTTTCACACCAAACCAACAGATTAATTCTATTTTTTCCTAACTTACCGCTTTTCTCTCGAACAAGTAGTAGATATAGGCAAGTTCTAATGTGTGCACTCATTAGAAAGAGTAGATATTGAAAGTATGAATCATTTTTAAAGGACAATCGCACTCTACTTGTTCTATGAGTTTACACTTAGATTATCGTCATGGTTCCCACAACCCTTGTTGTGGTTTTTAGTCACTCATGATTTCAACAGAATAAGCAATAATAGATGTTGAATACATTAAAATAAATCACTTATGATGATTGCAAATTCCAAGAAATCTTGATATTCAAACAAGTAATCAAAAGCTTCAAGTTTTGATTTGAAATTAATCGATAAAAAACAAAGTTGAAAATAAGGAAAGTCGCATTTCATTCATGCAATGAAGAGAAATCCTTCAAAAATAAACCTAATTAATTCAAATATTATGTTAAAAACGAGTCCTACATGAAGTAGGACTGATTTGTCAGAAGGCTTCACGGTCGGTGTGACAACTCGTCATACACCAGATGGACCGTGAGGCCTATCGTGATCCCACACTTAGACAGTGTGGGACTTACTTTATTGAGATTGATTATGTGCAACTAGACGTCCCATCTTGTGCACCATAGGTCGTGTTGATCATCGTGGTTCTGATCTTCCACTTAAGTCTTCACTGGAATTTCATCCTCTTCTTCAGGAGCATCATAACGATTCGTCAACAACACTACGGCCCTTCTAAGGTCTGTGGTTTTCATTCTAGACTTAGCTCCACATGGCTTCATTGATGCCATTCCTCACGGTCCACAAAATGATCTGTTAAGAGGACCACGACTTGTCTCGGGCTTCGTGGTCTTCAATTGGAATTTGGTTGATTTCCCAATGCTCATTGTCTCGGCTTCACGAGCCTCAAGATGGCTCGTTTTAAAGACCACAACTCTTTTGGGACTCCGTGGTGTTCCTTCATTGCCTTTCTTTCACGGTTCTTTTCCAGCTTTCCCACACAAGTGTAAACTTGTCTAAAAATCAACAAGCACATCAAATCTACATAAACACACTCAAGTTCTTGCATTAATCCTTAGTTTTGAGCGTCAAACGTTCCATGATTTCATGGCACATCAACCACCAAACTTAGTGAGATTTTAAA